TTCTATTATGTGAAAGGCCAACCGCACACTAGGAGTGGAGAGATGGTGAGAGTAGCGTGTACACATCCTGTGAATCCATCGTCGAATGGCGCAGTGAGGTGGAGTACTGTACTCTCGGGTAGCGCTGGACTCGTTCATGTTTTGGAGGATCCAAGTGAGGGTTGATATATGTAGGTCTACGACCTGCATATGTCGTGTGGTAAGGAAACCCTAGCTGGGCCAAATCAATTCGAATCGTCGTGCTCCTCGGTTACGGAGACTCGATCCTTCGACCACTCATCGTAGTTAATCAATGAAATATGGTTACTGATGGATATGAGATGATATAAGTTGAGAAGAGATGTGATGATTAATGAAGTGCTTGAGCTAGAATAGGTGCTAATTGGATACTGATACACCTAATACAAAGCTAAAATATTAAAAGTAAGGATGCACTTGTAGTAAGCTTTTCTGCAAAAGTTATTCTTGCTTCTACCTTGCCTTTAAGCCTGTATACCCTTGGAGTCTTTTCTTTTAGTCAGGTAAGACTTGCTGAGTATCCTCAAGTACTCAGGGTTTGTTAACCCTTGTTGCAGGATTTGACTTGTGCTGCTAGCGGAGGTCATGTCAGTGGGCTCGACATGATCTTGTCGTCTTTCCTACCTTAGATGCTTCACCTAAGTTGCTTCTGAATTTCTACTCATCTTTTGGAACTTAAGTTAAGTTTGACTTGAACATGTTTTGTAAACTAGTGTTATAATTCTTCCGCACTCTAATATAAGTTATCTTTGTACCAAATGTTGTAATGTTGTGGCAACTCCATGTTGATCATGTATGAGTTGTAAAATGTGGATGATTCGGGGTTTCTCCGAGGACACCCGACAGACTACCTGAGTTATCTGGCTCTCATGTGCAACACCAAAGGTCTTAAGGACAGTGACGGGTGCATGTGGACCATATAATTAGAGTGGTTCTACCACATCCACAAAATAGAATAATTACAAAGGGCAGGGAAAAATCGAACCAACAAATTGACCATTGCTTCAGCTATCACAGAAGAAGCGGAAAGGCTCCAAAGTACTCAAAATAGAATAGGTACAAAGAGACGCAAAAAATCTAAGCAACCAATTGACCATTGCCTCAGTTATCATGGGGAGGCAGAAACCGCTGCAAAAAATGGAATCAGTGCCTCAATTAGAAAGAGGCGGGAAAAATAAAATCAACATTGCTCATGATCACTGCCTCATTTACGAACACAGTAGACAGATGTGAAAGAAAGAATCATCATAGTCCATGAGCATTGCCTCAGTTATCTAGAAAAAGAAAGAGGTGTAAATTTGTGAACGATGGCCCTTGATCACTGCATGAAACATAAAACATTTATTGTGTATTCATCACAGCACTACCCTATTCCCTCAAATTAATCTAGCAGCAAGAGGAAAGTGTACCCATCATCTAGCAGCTAGGGTTTTGTCGATTAGAGGCGAACAGCTCATCTGCATATAGATCGTCGTCCATAGCAAAGGGGAGCGAGCCTCCACGAGCGCTGGGAGAGGAAGATCCCACAGGGACAGGTAAGAAGAGAGAGGGGGAGGAACCAAACCGATGAGGGGACGACCCGAGGAACACCGGAGCGTCTGGGAGCACGGACGGGCCGAAGGAGAGTGGATCCACGCGTGGCCGGCTGTAGGAGGTCGCGCGGAGGGGGGCGGCTGCGGCCACCGGGGCTGGCCAGCCACGCGGGGGGTGGGAGGAAGGGAGGGGGGCCACCGGGGGCTGGCCGCAGCAGGCGCAGGCGCGCCGCGCCCGTCGTCGTGTCGCCGCTTCGAGAGGGAAGGAGAGAGAGGGGGTAAGGGAGAGAAACGGAGGGAAGGCAAAGAGAGGGAGAGAGATGCGAGGGAGGAGCGGAGGCAGGAGAGAGGGAGGGGGGGCCGGGGCGCCCGGCGGCGGGGGCGCCGTCGCCTCGGGAGCGACCGAGAGAGAGGACCGGGAGAGTTGTGTGCATGTGTCTTTTTTTTTGACGATGAGAGGGAAGGGAGCGGTAGATATCTATGTGGACAAGGATTTAGGGTTGACGTGGCTAAAGGGAGACCAAGCAAAGGCCTTTTGGGGACACGTGGCCCAATCAACAATTTCGGGTGACGTGGCCCAACTCCCCTGCGGGGGTTCACCTTAGGATTGTAGGTGGAGATATATTGTAGGCTCATAGCTGCTACAAGGCACGTGCAACAGGACAAGTTCTGCATGAGGTTTACAAGAATTATGACTCTGACGAGTGTAAATGTAGCAATAGTACTGCACGTTCATCCTCAAAATAAATAATCACAAATTGGAACGATGTGTTCGATCTATAAATACTACCGAACTGAACCTCGCTGCATACAGTCCCACTCTTTGTTCTTGCGCCTGCATACTAGTTCGTTTTATGTTCCCTAGTTTGTCACCCCAACACTCACTGGAGGAAGTCAATACAACATGCATATGCTTCAGCATGTCACTAGCTTCTTGAGATTGAGCGGCATCAGCGAACCATATCCCGCGTTTGGGGTAGCTCCGTTGGTTTGCAACCATGGCCTCCGTTCGGTATCTTTTACGACCTGCATGCACGAAGAACAGCTTACTCTCCTCAAGCATGGCATTGCATAGAAACACGAGAGAAATGGTTCCCAAGTTCAGAGATGTGGCGCAGCAACCTGGTCGTGCGTTGTTGTGATGAAATGGAGTATTGCCTTGATCAGTAAAGTTGTCTGGTGGTCTCGTATACCAGACTTACTATGGGAGCGGCAGCAGCAACTGTGGAGCAGGATTTGCACTCTCTATTCTTGCGATCCGGGTGATGTCGAGACACTGTAAGACAAGCCAAGTCTGTGGTCGTTGATGGAAAACAAGCACCTGCCGGAGTTGGTGCTACCGTCTGATGGTCACTGTCATGCACGGAAGAAAGCCTCGTTTAGGATGCTTTTGCCGCTTCTAGTAATCATGCGCTGAATATTTGTGTCCACACAAGTTACAAAAGCTTTAGTGCGTTTCCCTGATATGTGGGTGTAATTGTCTCCATTATTTTAATTAATACAAACTAGTCACTGATCTTTAAAGAAGAAGAAAAGAGGCAAATTTGTTCATTTCCAATAGTCATAGCCGCTTGCTATCTCTAGTAATATAATGCCTATGTGTGCTAGCTCCACTTCAACAAGGGTTAGCATATATAAAAGATCACTTCTCTCATGGTGTATCCTTTACACGGTGTCAAAATGGCTAACAAAAGCCTCAAAGGAGAGTGATATGCATGATTGGAGGGAATTAGATGCTATTCTATCTTAATTACTATCATTCGTGCCTTGTTTAGGCCCAACATGTAAAATAATGACATATAGAAAAACAAATCAACTAGTTAGTTGGAAACCTCCAGAAGCCCACAACCAGCTCTTATTCACAGATAAAGACATCCAATAATGATCCCCCGGGCTTGTTTACAACAACCACACAAATAGGACAAGACATCCGATCCGTCCCTTGGCCACTTGGCCCTTAATTTGATGGCGCGAAAACACTGTGTTGACAATGCATGGAACACTCGATTTTCTCTCTCAAACGCACAGGAGAATTGAGTGAAGTGGTTGATTGTCTGTGCGTCGTCCAACAACTGGTTGTTGGAACCTCGCAGAAGCAGAACATTTGAATGTGAGGTAGACAGTCCCTAAAAAGAAGGGTGTGTTCTAACTCTGACAAATGTAAATATACTAGTGCTGAGCTTTGATCTCAAAATAGTTAATCATTAAATTGAAACCATGTGTTCTATAAATACTATCGACATGGACCTGGTTGAACACTGACCTATATACACTTTAGCTAGCTCTAGTGTGCCTGCACGCTCATTTAATTTTATCCTTCACAGTTCCTTTGTCTGTTTTATATATCACCAGTAACACTAGGTCATGCTCATTGGAGGAGCGGAGAGGTCAATACCACATCGTTTCAACATGTCACTAGCTAGCTTGTTGGGATTGAGTGGCATCAGCAAACCGTGGCTGTGGTAGCTTTGACAGTTAGCCACCAAGATATTACCTCCATCTGTTTGATGGTTTCTTGACTCCTGAGGCTTGAATTTCCGTACAAACACGAGAGGAATGGTTACTACCGTGAGAGACGACGAGACATGACAGCACCGAAGGCAGATAAATAACACCATAGTCTTAATTAGTAAAGTTACTTGATGGCTAGGTATACCATACTTAGGGCTTGTTTGGTCGTTCAAGCCATGGACGAGTTGCCTGGTCTCAAGATCGGCCTATAGACGGCCCTGTACATGGTTGCAAAATTGCCTGACCAGGCATATGTCAAATCTATAGTAATGTTTGGTTGGTGATGTGACACAATGCCTGGATGATGAAAGGGGAAGACGGTGATTTGTTGATAGTTTTCCTGTGTCCATTGAAGTTGGGAAAGTGACTAGCGAGCATTAAATGGATCCAGACAACTCACAGAGATCCAATTCCCAAGCGACTGATTTTGAAGGACTGTCACCAAGCAGCAGATACAAGAAGCTAGAGTTAATACAATGAAGCCTTTTCTTTTTGCATATGTACAAGTAATTTTATATGTTATATTGTAGTAGTATACATGTATGATCCAGTTCCAAATTTGCCTTCGCCAAATCAAAATCATGTGTCCAATCTTCTGCACGGCATCTATGAAACCTAAAAGAAGCCATGCAGCAGTCCTGCTCCAAGTGATATTTATGTAGCAGAGTACTTCGGCCCCATTGTCACTAGCATCCACATCCACTCTCTTGTTTTTCTCTTTCTCTGATTGTGCAATAGATGCAGTCCATTTTGGTTCATTTTTTAGCTTCTTCCACCAATGCTCCAATGCGAACCGTTTGCCATATTTCTTTTTATACATCTGTTGTGCTTCATCTATCAGCATGTCATCAGAGTAACCACTCTTATGGATCTTAGTTACTGAACTAAAGAAGCCATTGAATTCATTCATACTTTTGTTCAGGCGTCCCCAATGGATCTTCAGTTGGTTAATGTCCCTTTTAAGATGTTCTTGTTAAACAAGTCGCTGATCTGACCCCAAAATGTATTTTCACGACTCTTGTCATTCCCATATATCAGGTCTTTAGAGGTATTCAACCAAGCACTAGCCTGAAAAAAAAATACAAGTAATCAATTCGGTGGAAGAGTATGTGATTATGCAATAAGAACGTAAGAACATTGTTATATGTATGTGATTACCAATCTTTCTTCCTCATCAAGTGTCCAGTGCCTTTTCTTTGCTGTCCTACTTGTCTCAACATCATCTTCGTCATTGTCAATGTTGACAACCCTTTCTACTGGTGGTGGTGGTGGTGCTGCTGCTGGTGGAGTCCCTTTGCCACATGGTGTCTGTGGTGTTGGAGAGAATGGGTTGAAGGCCTGAGTAAGTCTAACAAGGTGGAAATTTTCTCCTGGATGCGCCACCAGAAATTGAGGTTGATTTATAAAATTTACAAATCCACCTGGCGACGGATATCCCTGAAACATCAAGTACAAGCATATTAATATAACCTATAAACAACAGCAAGTTACAAAATATTTAGTATTAGGCTTCAGCATTAGGTTCCAGGATCACAACTGAGAAATTTTAGTACCCCAACTTAAATTTCAGAAAAATTTAGTACTCCAACTAAAATTTCAGCAAGTTACAAATCTGCAGGACTTGTGTATTTCTCAATTAATCATCTACAGAAAAATTTTATGGACAACCCAACTACAGAAAAAGATTCAGAAACATTGATTCTAAAGAATTGATGCAAAGTGCCCATGCAGCAGTACAACACACATCCTTGACTTCACCAAGCAGAGAATACTCAAATGCTGAAACCAAATTTCCTATCTGCTACTGCTAGATGTGTATACAAGAACTGAATCTCATTTCAGAACTGAGTAAGGTGCAGACAAGAGTAGAATTTACTAAGGTGCAAACAACAACAGAATTGAGTAAGGTGCATCTCTTCTGTGCTACAAGAACTGAACTACATAACTGATGCTCTTAACTTGATGCAAATATGAAATAGGAGAGCAGACAACAACAGAACTTGATGGGGATGAAAAAGCCCTATGAGCTTACCACATATTTGCTGACTGTGCTGTTGGGGAGTGACCTGCACCATTGTTGCCACCAGATCTGGGCCAAAAGGAGAGGGAATCCCAGTCGAGGTGGTGCCGCCGACGGTGGAGCAGCCGGCGGCAGCTGCGGGGCTCTCAGCGAAGAGAGAGACGTGGTCGATTTGCCGGCGCGCTTCTTCTTGTGGCGCGATGTTGAAGACACCGCCCCTTCGCTCGCCATCTCACCCCACCGATTTGTCGCAGCAGCTCGTTGATGTCTCCCCTGTCCTCTCCGCTTACCGATGCTGCGCCGCCGCAAACCAGAAGCACTGGCCCAGGCATCTGCGAAACAGGAAGGGGTAGGCGGGATATAGGGTTGGGGATTGACTGATTTGGCGCGAAACCGGAAGGGGGAAGCGCGGGAGCGAGACGGCGCCGGAGGAAGAAGTCGCGCGCCATCGGGTTTATTGCCTGGGGGCTTGTTTAGATTCAAGTTTTTTCACTCTTTCTCCATCACATCAAATCTTTAGACGCACGTATGAAATATTAAATGTAAATAAAAAAAATAACTAATTACATAGTTTGATTGTAAATTACGAAATGAATTTTTTAAGCCTAGTTAGACCATGATTGAACAATAATTATCAAATACAAACGAAAATGCTATAATACCCAATACTGATTTCTCACACCCATCTAAGCAAGACCTGGGTAACGGTGACGAGCGGTTTTCTTGATAAAACTCTCTTTCTCTCTCCTCATAAATATCTCGCCAACTAAACAAATCTACTGACGTGACGTACCATTTAACGAGAATAAAACCCCTTCTGTCACAAATAACTTATGTCTCCAAAATAATTAAACAAACAATAGACTGGTTCGTATTATTGCTGGTTCGTGAAGAAGTATTACTGGCTAATTTGTATAAGAGAAAAATACTGTTCTGGCTGAAAATTTATGATCGTATACGACAAGCACTAGCCAAACGAACAGGCTGCAAATTTGCAAAGCCAACAGTATCCGAAAAATAAATAAACGTAAAAGCAGTACAACGGCATGTTTGACACTTTCACCTCCATCTGTGCTATATATACCTACTATTCACCAGTGGATATCGATCACTTCACACTCCCTATTCGCATCCATCCGGTACACATGCTCCATTTACCTCGTTGTTCTTCAATTATTTAACATATTTTGTTCTTCAACCGAGCAATGGATCCATAGTTTGCTACCTTCGAATGAGTGGCGTCAGGCAAGTTTAGTGGACGTACGGTGCATTCCGTGCATCAATTGCGTCCTCTTCCAGAGGGCAAGTCTGGTGGGATGTGTTGTGAGGCCATTGGGTCAGGTGTAACCGTCTCACAGCGAGAAACAGCATGGATTATTTGCCGGACTAGCTAGCTTAGCGGGCATCCGACTGGAAGGGACTCAGAGGGTCCATGCTTGGCACTAGTCGTGGAGTAATTTGCTCACAAAGTACTTTCTCTTTAATATAAGTAGGACACACGCAGCTCTTTACCATATTCGTTTGGCTGATAAGTCATGACTGAAGATAATGTTGACTGATTTATTGTGTGAGAAAAATATTATTCGTTGGCCAAAAAAATACGGCTTATAAGTCAAGCGAACATGGCGCTTAGCTCTTGTACGTGTTCAACAAGTTGAAGGAAAAAAAAAGCACCAGGCAGACATATTTCACTTGGAGTTGCTAACATTGTTGGGTTCGGCACCACAATCAATATGCGCTCAGGATGGTTGTCTCAGGCAGGCGCGTCCCGAGAAAATATGAGGCCCAGTTCGAAACAACAAATGGAGGCCTAATATCTAGTGCCAAACCAAGAAATTAATGGAGGCCGATTTAAAGAAGACATGGCTTGCAAGCTGGAGCAATTACACTAGATCAATGTGTGTACAAAAGACAATGCACAAAAGATTAACTAAATAATTAAAATAGGGGTTGGGCATGGAATTTTCCCATCTGGGTCTGAGATTGCAACATGTTCGCTTGATCTTATCAGCCATGGTATAGTGTTTTTTCCTCACAACAAATCAACGAAGAGTACTTTTTAGCCAACCTTTTAAGCGACGAAGGGTTATGACGTTAGGTGAAAAAATTGGAATCTGCAGCCGCCCAGACTCTTTTCGCGGAAGGAAGGTGCAGGTCACGATCCTTGACTCATGTGCTCCACCAAGCCAGGCCACTATTATGGGCCAAAGAAAACACCTGTAGCTGATTTACTAATTATAAAACAAAGCCTAAAATTATTATATATACTTGGGATACTAAGTAAATCTTGGGGCCCATGATTTTGGGGGCCCTGTTCCGTCGCACAGCCCGCACGGGCCCGAGGACACCCCTGGTTTTAGGGCATGATTGGAACTGCTTTGCTCTAGTTTTTTTTTTAGCTCCGCTCCATCAACTCCACCATAGAGGAGCTCCGCTTTGTAGTTACTGAAGCAAGTGGACGTGTTTGGGTTTTTCTAGGAAAGGCCTAATATGCCCTTGGATGATGTTTGACGTATGTTTTGATGTTTGTAAATATGTGAATGTCTGTTTGCTTTTACTAATTGGAATATGATGTAAAAATTATATAAATGCAAACCAAGGGAAGCCAACCACCTAGTACGATTGATGCCTGTTCCTACATAACAAGACTATTTTTGGTCTTGTGCAATCCAGGGAATTCAAAAGCAACATCATAACAAATTCATGGCATCTCACAATCCAAAGCAAGCAAGAGAAGCAGCGGAGAAAGAAAATGAGCCCCTGGTGACGACTTGGAGGAGGCACCTCGCTGGAGTGCCGCTGGTGATGTGGCCAAAATAGGGTCGGAGCCGAGTGGACAGGGCCAGCCCTGCCATAGCCGCGGCCCGTGCGCGTCCCCGCCTCCACCTCCCGCAGCCTGTGTCGTGGAGGAGGGCCTGGACCTCGGCGATGACATGGAGGAGGCACCTCACCGGAGCGCCACCGGCGGTGGCTAGAATATGGCGGTGGCGCTAGGTTTTCACAAGCGGAGGGAGTGGCGCCCGCGGAATAGAAGCTCACATGGAATACAAAGCGTCAGGATAGAATAGATGTGAACTGGTATGAAGTGAAAATGTGTAATCAGTGGCAGTGGTGGGTAATTTTTCCCTCACTCTACGAGAAAGTACAAAAATCCAAATCTTGGAGAACCCTTGAGGTGCTCCGTCCACAGAAAACGTGGAGTCGGCCTCCAACTCCATATTTTTTTGGAGTGGAGTTTTAGGAGTTGGCAGTGGTGCGTAAATCTCCAGAGAGAGCTAGAAAGCATTCGGTAGAGGTGTCTGTTCCATCCGCCCTACTGTTGCTAAAAATTAATTCTGCAGTAGTATGGGTTTCATGGTCAATAGGGCCCTGGTGGGCATGGTTGGCATGTTCAATGAGTCACACAGATCTTGCCAAAGCTGAAACAAGTGCATAGTGTCGACGACCTTATTATATATACATTGCCAAGCTGCTCCATTCCCCGCAGGCAATTGAAAACTAAGAGCATGTTAGGGACTCCTCTGCTTCATGAGTCATTTTTGCTTTATGGTTACTGAAGATTTGAGGGATATTTTAGATAATTTTTCATAATGGTAGAGGTATATAATTTAGGTACAAATTAAAGGGGTTACTTTGTATTTTATATTGGCAAATGTGGCTATGCATGTTAAAAATAAATTTAAGGATTACTTTGCATTATTTATCATAATGGCAGAATATGTATTTTTAGATGTAAATTTAGGGTTTTATTATAAATAATCTTTCATAATGGAAGATGTGGTTAATTTCCATGCAAATTTAGGGTGTTAGATTATGTTTTGTTTTCCATAAATGATGCTTGGAGCAGGTAAATTGTTAGAAAACAATGTAGATCCAATGACATTATTGGCGATAATGATTAGAGTGTAACAAAAATAAAATGCTAGATTTTTCCGTTGGTGGTTTCTAATTAGTAATTTGAAGATTAAGATGTCATGCACTAGGTCAACATATATCTAGTTTTAATTCGATGTGGATGTATATAATGTGATATGCTCGTCTACACTTGTTTTAATTAGGAAAGAGCAACATGTCCTCTCTGATCGAGTCATTGCTTCAGTGAGCAGCAGTACACCACTATCTAGCTCAGCTGGTGCTGCTGCCAGTCAGACGATGGCCAACCCCATGGTAGAGTGGTAGGCCTTCTGGTTTGGCGGTGATGTGGTCGACTTCTTATATGGGTCTGTGCTGGTTGTGACTATTGTACCACTACAGGCCCTCACCGTTTATAATTGTATCTTTTCTGAAACTTGTGGTAAGTGACAGTAAACTTGTTGCTGCAATGAATTACTTGGTCACCTGTAACAAGTTTTGCTCTGAGATTTAAGCGAATTCAAAATCTGACAAGTGTAATTTAGTAGTGCTGGACTTTCATCTCAAAATAAATAGCCATTAAACTTAAATGCTCTGTTCTATAAGTATCACATGAAGCTTGCTGCACATAGTCTCATACTTCACTACTCTTGCATGCCTAGCTCCATGCTCGTTTTATCCTCCTTAGTTCGGTTACTTCTTCCATTGATCACCACTAACAACAACCCATTGGAGCAGAGTTCAGTGCAACATGGGTGGCTTCAGCATATCACTAGCTTGTTGGGATTGAGCGGCATCAGCAAAACGTCGTGGCTGCGGTAGCTCCCATAGTTTGCCACACCGATCAGTTCCCTTGTCTGCACCAACCTACATAGCTCCAACAGTTTGGCAGGGCACTCTGATAAGCTCCCTTGTCCGCTCCAACCTGAATCCATGAAGGATGGCTTCATCTCCTGAGCCTTGAACTTGCAAAGAAATTCAACAGAAGAAGTTGCTTTGATGAGAGCCATGGCAACAACTGGGATTGAGATTATGGCCATTCAATGCAAGTGGTGGTTGACATGGAGCTGGTTGCTGAGAGTCAACTATGGGCATGGAACGGATTGGCAGTAAGTTTGGACTCATCGTGGGCATGCTTGCCACGGTTCAGTCGCGTACGCAGATCTTGCCAAAGCTGAAACAAGCACATCTATTGAGGGAGCAACAAGCATCACCTACTAGTGATCTGAAATCTGAATATAATGCTCCACAGTGTCGATGGCCTAATACATTGCTAAGATGGGGATCTTAGTTCACATTTTGTAAAACTCTGGTTTTCCTGATCTTGCAAGAAGCTCCCATGTATATAATGAAGTAAGGTGGGGATTCTCTGTTCCCTTTCTAAGAAAAAGAAAAAAACACATAGAAATCCTGAGCTAGCTGAGGCAATGGCAGTCGTTAGACATGGTCGCTAAAGATGATAACTTCAGTCGGGCCATTGTATATTGTTAAGAAGATCCCATCTCCAGAGAAGGATAGATAGAACACTGAGCTATTGATCAAGACGACATAAAAAACGAGCTTCGTTTCATGGAATTCTTTCTCTGTCACTTATGTT